TCATATCATGTGGGGTGTAAGTGTGTAACAGTGAGAAAGGAGAGAAAGAAAGAGAGAGTGAGAAAAGAAGGCTGGAGGAAGAGAGCTTGCAAACAAACATGCACTGATCATCTGAACAAAATAGTCATCTTTCGCTTTCAGAAAAATAAGTTGGACACAGGACTAGTGAAAGCTAAAAGCTACTAGCGCATCCAACCAAAGTGAGGTGATGTGTGTTGTGCAGTTTTTGCTCTCTACCACTACTAGCTCGATCGCTAGATCGATCCTTCTTTTGTTTGTCTCTCTTGATTATTCTTTCCTTTTTCCTCCCTTTATTTGGTGTACATGTGTGTGGGTGGGTGAGGAACTCGCGATGAGTTAAAGCTTTGATTTCAGAGAGTTTCAGACCATGCGTCTATATATATGTGTTCAGAGGAGAAATTTATATAGGCAAACGACCATTAATCACGAGCTGGCCGGTAGTAGATTATATGCCAAAGCCAAACAGTCATATAAAAACTTATCTAATTTAAAGTGTACTATCTTCACAATGATTAATTTCCAGTACATTGTCAATTCATGTATTGTATTATAGTACTCCACCATAGGACCACACCCAACCCATGCTAGCCGCGGAAATTTACAACCAGACAGATTCATAAGAACTGAAGAGAATTATATTCTACATCCATATTTAAATACTCCCTCCATTTTAAAATGTTTGACACCATTGACTTTTTAGCACATGTTTGACCGTTCGTCTTATTAAAAAAATTTGTGAAATATGTAAAACTATATGTGTACATGAAAGTATATTTAACAATGAATCAAATGATATGAAAAGAATAAATAATTACTTAAATTTTTTGAATAAGACGAATGGTCAAACACGTACTTAAAAAGTCAACGGTGTCAAACATTTTAAAACGGAGGGAGTACAATTTTAATTTCACCCTCCATGCGTGTATGTTTCATCTATTAAATTTCAGGACAAAATAACGATGGGTTTGACAATGCATCGGCTGGAGATATCTCCGACGACAGTTTTACTGACGGTCCTCTGAGGCAAAACAAAAGTATGCTAGCATCTGAACAGAACGACACCAATATTTACAGTGGTTTATGGAGCAATAACTCGTCAGGGTACTTCTTTCAATCTTACTCGATCGAACAATGGTAGCGAAGTGTGTATCCTGCTCGATAGTACTCCCTCCATCCCATAATATAAGGGATTTTGAGTTTATACTGATAACGTTTGACCACTCGTCTTATTTAATTTTTTTTTACAAATATAAAAAACGAAAAGTTGTGCTTACAGTACTGTGAATAATAAAGTAAGTCACAAATAAAATAAATAATAATTTAAAAAAAAATTGAATAAGACGAATGGTCAAACATTATAAACAAAAACTCAAAATCCCTTATATTATGGGACGGAGGGAGTAGTAAAGTAGCCAGTAGTGCCAGTACTCTGAACTACTGATGAAACCATCAATGCATGCATGTCTATTGAAATTAAAATTTCATGCATGCACGTACCACAATGTGTTTCAAAATGTCAGCAGCAACACACTAGCTACACTAGCTACTAGCTAGCACAGTACTACAATGCACAGAAAGAGAGATATCAGGTCTGCACGCTGCAACCTGAAAAGATGCAGCGTGTGCAATACCCTAGACCTTTAGCTCTGTCGAACCAAGGACCATTTTGCAGTAGTAAGTGTTCCAAGGTTTTTGAAACTCATGATGATGCAATGATTTCATGGATAGAGTTCCAACTGTACCGTATATATGCATGCATGATCTTTCTATGACTAAAGACGTGAGTTAGTTCTCACATCGTTTCTAGGAAAGACAAGTCTATGTGTTTCGGGAAAAGGTATATCTGAACAACTGTTGAAAATACACATTGTTTGGATTATTATATAAGTCAACGATATTGTCTTTTGAGAAACTCAAACTAGGAGTTAAATTAATATGGGATATATAAATAAAAGCACGGCAAATTAATTAAATTAAATTGAAACTTCTTTGCATGGAAGCTAGCCAATTCATTTTCTCTAGCTAAGCTAACATTGTTAGTCTTTAATTTGTTAATGACTCCTGCCTGTGTTAATGTGTTATTAGGCAAAGCTAATTTCCTACTGCCTAAGCATCATTTGCAAGCATATAGTTAACAACTGTCCCAAATTCGTTTAATATATATTTGATTTACTGGATATATATATTTGCAAAACTAAATGCATATACCAATGAATAGACCGTATTCTAACACCTCTACTGTCTGGCATATTTTCTATTTTGCCTGATGGACTATTTGCAGCAAGGTAGGCTTACCCATCAGAGAACCAGCTAATGAAATTTACAGAAGATATCTCAAGGTAACAAAATAATACCTAAGCAATATGTAACCTTTACCCACTTTTATGCCCATATGTATGTGACTCTATTTAATTTCTTTCATATAGAATTATATTGTGCTATGTATTAATGAAGGCATCACAAAAAGCACAAAAGTGACAGATATATATATAGCACAAAATTTCAGTTGATCTTACCTAGCTTCTTGTTGCAGAATACAAAACTGAGCGTGGACTTAGAGACATCTATGTTGAGGTTACCAGGTCGGCCGAACCTTGAGTTCACACTTGGGATTGGGAAGGCTTCACAATGATACATCAGAACCGCGAAGTCCAAGCATGCATAACTAAGTTGATTGATTTCGGTGTGCTATAGCTAGCTTGACCCAGTTAGTAGTATATAGTGTCATTTGCCCGAAATGACTAGCTTGGCTAGATAAGAAGCCAATAAGACTGTGAAGTGTGAAGGCACAAAAAGATTTAAAAAAAAAGAGGAGAGACACTGTATTTTAGCTAGTTTCTTACACATGCCTTGTTCTGATAAAGGGCATTGTGGAGAAATAAAGAGATTCTATTTGAGATGCCAGCACTACCATATAGATATACAATATAGTCTTGTCTGTATGTGTGTGTGTGAGACAGACAAAGTAGGTTAGTACGTAGCATATGATCTGGCTCTATATGAAAAAGTCATATGTTGTCTAAAGCTATGTTCATGCATGGAGTGCAGCAAACGTGACAGGCAAGGGCTCATCTTTTACTGCTAACAAAGAAGGAAATGCTGCATCACGCACGTGCAGTTCCCAATTAGAGTCAGCTTTTCAGAGCCCCACAAAGCAAGAAAATTTGTGCATGAAGGATGATCTTTACTGAATGCAGTCCTAACTTGTTTTCATGAATGGAGACTGAGCATACAATGCATGCAGTGAGAGATGTCATTTATTTGAAAACATGTTTATGAAAGCTTAATTAATGTTGTATAATGTGTGTACATTGTACAAGAGATCGAGTACCTAGAGGCTAGAGCTAGCTAGTTTCTATATATAATTTTTTTTGAGGTAATTTCCTATATGTGAGTTGGTGAAATAAAACATCACTCCTGAGAGTACCAGTATATATACTCAATATATATATGCACTAGTTCTGATTTCTTTTCTCTAGTTAACTATTTCTTTGCTGTACGTAATGCCCACAAGGCAAGAGATCTACTACATGTGTGCGGTGAAAACCTATATCAACATGCATGTAAGAATGGGGATTTGCATTAAACATGAAGCTAGCTAGATGACGAAAAGGTATCGATATGTACTAGAGCCAGATGGGCGTGTGAATGATATATAGTACATAGTACTCCCTTCTTTTATCTTATAGAGCTTTTATATTGGGAACAAGAAGCACTGCCAATGTGCATGCCATCTTTCAGCTTTTGTAGCTAGTCACTACTGTGAATGCAACTGGGGCAGGCTGTAGAACAAACCAAGCAAGAAGCAAGTTGATGGAGGTGATCTCCTAATCACCTTTTTACCATGTGTCTGATATTGACCCAACCAACAAGGAGTAAGAGTGCAAGAGTAGCGTGTGTAAACAGATTCAGAGAGAGAGAGAGAGATTGTAGCAAGCAGTAAAATATATAATGATTACCTTATGATCGACAATAGGTGTTTGATCCCATGATGAGGGCTTTTATCACGTACAGATCCTCTCTTTAATCATTCCTGTTTTTCTGGCTACTGGCTAGTGAGTAGAAGCTGTGATGACCTGCGCATAAGAGTGAGTTTTTCTTTAATGTCGTTGAATGGGAGCTAATAGTGAGCTTGCACAAGAAAAACCTGGGACTAATTAACTTTGTAACTGTAAGTAATAAAAATAACATATGTTACTTATGCCATTTTACTTTGCACCGAAAGCAGGGCCGTAAACTTTATTTTAACCAGCTGGAACAGCAAAGCTAGCGACGAAAGCGACTCGTCAGAGGGCCACGTGCAGCTGTGCCAACCGTCCACACACACACACAGGGATGAGACGACGACGTGCAGCCGTACGTGTCACTGCCAGGTGGGGCCCCGTGCACAAGGGAGCAAATGAACACGACAATCAGGCAGGCAAGAGGGTCCAGGATATGATAAGAATGATTTGGCACTCCATTGGCCCATGATTGATGAGACTTCAGAGCATGTACTGTAGTGGTCATCGTAGTTGTAAAAATCAGCGCCTCCGCAGTCAACAGTTAGTACCTTTACTTTTCAGTTTTCACCCCATGTGGCATACTGGCAAGGTGAGAAGTTGAAAGGCAAGGCTCTCTCTGCTTCAACTCAATCCATCCATGATCCATCTACGACGAGTCTACTACCACTGATGCAGAGGTGCAGTTGCAGGAGGTTGTACGGTCGCTGTGACTTCAACTACCGAGGGTTGCTTTGCAATTGCAGGCAGCCCTTTTCCTTCTGACCTCTGCAAGTAAACAAAGCAATGAGCAACCAAATCCTGTCATGCTAACTCCGCAGTTATAGTCAGAAAAGCAGCGAACTTGTATGGGCCAGCTGAAATCCTTACCTTTAGATTTGGCAATGTTTTACTGGTACTGTACATGGTCAATGCTTTGGGATGGAGATGGAGGTAAATCTTTGCATATGCAGGCTTGATTTCTTCTCTCTTGCATTCAGCTCAAGCTTCTCTGATAAAAACCGACACTGATGACAGACACATCCAACAATCTCAATATTACTAGTAGTTTAGTACCACCACTTGGCGGCCCTCTTTGATCGCCGTACTCATATACTATATATATTATACTAAATTGGAGCACGCTGATCACGTTCTGCATCAACCGTACCAATTACCAACTCCTTAATTGGACTTTAAAGCTTGCTACTCAGCTGCTCTAAGCTCACACCGATCCAGTAATCGAGCTCCAGACATCCATCAATGGCCATGGAGCTCTCTAACCTGACGAGGTGCCATCTGCCACTGCTCCTGCTCTTCCTGCTGGCAGGATCCTCCTCCATGGCTTTGCCAGTGCATCCTGCAATGGACAGGGTGAGATGGCAGGTCGACAAGGTCAACCGGCGGGGCCATTCCATCGGGCTCGTCATGTCGTACATCGATGAGGCCACTGCTCTTGAATCCTCCGGCTACTTCAGACCTTGGCATGTCCTCCCCTTCGTTGACCTCTACGGTAACTCTGGGCCTTCCATTTCCAACCCACATGCTTGAATGGATAAGTCTTGGCGTCTTTCATTGGCATTTCCAACATCCAATAACTACTGCTAAAACTGCTAAGTGAACCAAAATACCAAAAACAGAACAAATGCACATATGGATACATAATGCTACTATTGAAGTCAGTGGTAGTTTCAGCATTTTTTTTCCCGAAGGACAGTAGTTTCAACATTTAAGGACATCGAATACAAGTTTTAGATATACCTGAATTTGTCATATGTGATGAAGCCAGCTTGCTCTGCAAATTTAAATGATCTGCGCTCAATCAAGACCTGAAGAATTCAACATGTGATGGTTTAGCCTGTCAATTAGCAATTTCATAATGTGGTTTGGCACATCGTCCCATTTACTTATTGTTGGATGAACACATCAAAGAACGGGGTACAGCTGTACAGGAACTGTAAAGCCGTAAACCAAGATTTCACATCATGTTGATAGATGCACTATAAAATAGAAAACTTTGCCATAAGGAGAACACAAAAGGAAAAAATACAATAATATACCACATTTTCATTGTATCAAATATTCATTTTACAGGTTTAATGAAATTTTATATTCCGCTGATATATTATATTCCCATTCAATTTCGATTCAGAACATCTCATGTAGTCCTTAATTCTTTTACATCTTATAATGGACTCTCAAGAATAAAATGCTGAACTCTTCAAATTTCAGGACGAAGGTATCACATCGGGAGTATTAGAGGTGTCAATGTTATATATGCACTGACAGGACAACGCAGGGTATTAAATTCATAAGTTATTTGCGTTTACATTATCTGCCTTGTGATACATGGAGAAAACCATTTTCATATATCACAAGTAATGCCAAAAGAAACTGCTGTGAGATGCTATTTACATGCAGGATTTTAATACAAACTGCGCTATGCTTATGCATTGTTACTATGCCTTTGTTCTTCCAGTTAAATGCGGCTGTGACTGTACAGACTCTCATCGACGTCTTTACTGTGTCTGGCATTGTTCATTATGGCACAGCAGGAAGTTCTAATGATTCAATGTCATTTGGCGATGTCAGTGTCCCCAAATTTGTTGCTTATACAAGTGCTTGGACATGGAAGGTACCCTCCAACTGTGATCTGATTCCGTTTCCAACCTCAAAGAAGTAAAGATTCAAAGCAACTGGAATCTGATTATTCCCCTTAAAAGAATGGAATATGATTATCTGTAAATCCAGTATTATAGTTGCTTTGAATCATTAAATTAGTTACATCGTGTCAAAATATATACACTACTGTACTTTTAAAAGAATGCTTTGGTGAGTCTACCACCCAGCCTTCTCTCTACTACATCTTCTACTGACTGCTTTGATGTGTTCAATAAAAAAAAATTCCATTTGCTGCATAATGTTAGGACATGAGTGGCTCATTTTTAATCTTTAGCAAATGAATGAACATTCAGCTAATCTATTAATAAATTTAGTTCTGACTAGAGAAAATTAAACTAGCAATGCTTATATAAGCATGTTAGTTTTAAATACTATGGTATACTAAAAATCAAAATCACATTTAGTAGTAGCCTAGTAGGTAAACACACATCGAGCCTGGAGTGAAAGTAGAGGACAGTTTATAAGCACAACTACAGGATAATTAGAACATACTCCCTCCTTCCCTAAATGTTTGACGCCGTTGACTTTTTTAAACATGTTTGACCGTTCGTCTTATTCAAAAACTTTTGTGAAATGTGTAAAACTATATGTATACATAAAAGTATATTTAACAATAAATCAAATGATAGGAAAAGAATTAATAATTACTTAATTTTTTTGAATAAAACGAACGGTTAAACATTTTTAAAAAAGTCAACGGTGTCAAATATTTTGGGATGGAGGGAGTATTTTAGTACCAACTGTCTCACGTTTCAAACTAACTCTTTATATGACTTCTTGTTTTTGATTATTTTAGAAGTTCAAATCACCAAAAGAGTCGGATACAGAACTTAGCTTTGGAGATTTTACTGTCCCAAATGGAGGAGAGAATCTTCTAGGAGCTCTGAAATTCAGAAATGAGGAGCTATACTCAGTGGGTAAGCCTATGAAAGAAGTTTTCTGGTTACCTGTAGATTCAGCATGGTTCAAAATCGCAGAAGGACTTAAGGTGAGATATAGCATAATAAATGCCAGCTTATGCTTGACCATTAATGCCCGAAAAATTGTACTAATTGTGAAATTTTTATAGGTTTCACTTGAAAGATGTAACGACACTTTCTGCTTGCCAACAACTCCAAAAGTAGTCTGTGGGCTAAAAGGATCGTCAGCTGATATGTTTCTAGACAATGCAGAATATAGGAAGTTCCTTTTCAGAGAATTTGGTGTATCAACAGTAGATGAGGAGAGTGCAGCAGTGGTGATGGTGAGTTTTGTATTTTATCTCTCATGGTTTCCACTTAAATATCTGCCAATATTTACACATCATTTTTCATGCAATCATGAAGGTTAAGATAGATTTATATAATTAACAGAACATATACTAATTTCAACAGACAACAACATCTCCTGGCATACCTGTGATTGTATTCCGGGGAGTTTCTGATTTGGCTGGAGGGGAGCCAACATGGTCGTCAACAAGCCTGATGAACCTGGCATCTATTAATGCACTCAAAGTGGCAGTGGAGTTTATTGCTACAGTCGGGAAACAGAAGTCAACAATGTCAGCAGGAAGTGCTAATAACTGAAGGAAAAAGATCACATCCATGCTGATCCAATAATGCCCTGGAATAACATTTTACAGCAGTAGCTGCATTCAGAATAAGATGCTTTCCTGAGCTTCAAGTGCATGTCCTCTCCCATAAAGGATATTAGTGTTGAATTATTTTGTTGAAACTTGTAAGCATGCATGTGCGATCATTTTATTGCAAATGGAATAGCAGATGATGTTGCTTTTTACGAAAAAAAACAAATTACATCAGTACGGTTTTTTAATCCATGATCAAAAGGTAAGAAGAAAATGATAACTTTCAGTTATTGACAGTTCGACCGAACATGTGAATCTAATCTCAGGCCAAAGATAAGACATGAGAAAGTCATGGTTGCTATGAAGAACAGGTTCCCTATGCACTAGTATCTTAATGTAAATAGAAGCATTTCAATTTTACAATGACTGACTGGAATTTGCAGTATGTTTCCTGAAAAGGTGAAGTGGCTATAACAATTTTCAGATACTTCACAAGTTTAGCCATTTAGTGTTGATATAAGAGGCAGCTGCACAGCCCTACAATAAAACAAGGTAAAACTCATTGGCAAGGGCGTTGGCAATAGAAAACCATATATGTAGAATCCTATTATCGCATAGCATGTACCACGTATAAAACTAAGCAATTACCTTAAGAACTTTGCCAATTAGTTTCACCTAATTGTCAGATCTGATACTCTGATCTTTCTGAAGCTCCCTCATCTCCGGGTGCAGATTCAAACTGTCTCAACACTTCACTACCAGTAGTCTCCACATGAGCATTTGCCATCCTTAAAATGGTGGAATCGCTGAATATCTCTCATGATTATTTCCCGTCCTGTCACTAAAGATATTAGCTTGGTTGCATTATGGCAGTCATTACAAACTCGGAGGTTCTTCTTTATCTGGATTGTTGTGCCAGGGGCTGTGCGAATGAGCCCAAAAGCAATGGCAAGCTTCTCGCTGTGGGTGTTGAGCAGCTGTGCTTTGACATCATCTTCCACATCATGTATTGAATCAGTGTCTGGCACATAGCCCACTGCTTTGATCTCTTCTATCAACTTAGCCAACCTTGAATATATCTCCTTTGCTTGCTGGTGATTTGTGCTTCCAGAGTAGAAGGTATGGATCTCATTCTTGAGTTGAATGATACTCCATCCAGGAGTTTTTTGGAGGCCATTCTTCTCCATAGCAGTTCTCACCCTTGCAACATCCTTCCACATGGAAGCGTTTGCATAAATGTTTGCCAAGAGGACATGATACACTCCCTCCTGTGGCCCTAGCTCAAAAATCTTCTGAGCCGATTCTTCTGCCAACTCCACATTCTTGTGCAACTTGCAAGCACCTAACATCGCACCGTAAACACTAAGGCCAGGGTCCATAGGCATCTTTTGAATGAAAGCCCATGCTTCATCTAGCTTCCCGGCTCGGCCAAGAAGATCCACCATGGTACCATAGTGCTCCATCCCAGGTTCAAGCCCATAGTCCTCCTTCATGCTGGTAAAATATTCCCGTCCTTCATCAACCAAACCAGCATGACTGCATGCAGAGAGGACTGAAAGGAATGTTGTCTCATTAGGCACTATGCCAATGCTCTTCATCTCTTCAAATAGCTCAACTGCAGCTTTGCCAAAACCATGTGATCCATAACCATGGATCATAGCGTTCCATGTGATAACATGCCTCTCCCTTGCAGAATTGAACAGAATTCTAGCTATGTTAACACGGCCACATTTTGCATACATATCAATAAGGGCGGTCAGAACATATACATCCTGATCTAGGTGTAACCTGATAGAATATCCATGGATCCATCTTGCCTGCAGAGGATCTGAAATATCCGCAAGAGCTGGAATAACACTGACAAGAGTGAATGAATCAGGTTTCACATTCTCCAACTGCATCCTAGTAAAAAGCCTCACCGCATCCTCGGAGCATCCATTCTGCGCGCATCCAAGGATCATGGCATTCCACGATACCTGCGTCCTTCTGTCCAACTCATCAAACACATGAGATGCCAGGTCAACTCTCTTGCATTTGGAATACATGGTGATGAGTGCATTCATCACTGACACGTTGGAGTCTAAGCCAATCCGCACAAGCAGTTCATGGACACGCATCCCTTCATCAAGACAGCCAAGCTCCCCACACGCTTGCAGTGCTGCCAGGACAGAGACATCCGTCACATCGACACCCTCCTCGACCATCCTATTGAAAAGAGCCAGAGCCTCCCTTGAATCCCCATTCTGTGCATATCCATCGATCATGGCATTCCAGGACACGGAGTTCTTGGTTGGCATCCAGTCGAAGACCACCCTTGCTGCCCGGATGTCCCCACACTTGCAGTAGGCGTCAAGGATGGCCGTAGCGACATTAACAAGCTCTTCCAGCCCAGAACGGATCGCGAACGCGTGCGCCTCTCGGCAGGCAGCAAGCGCCCTGGCGTTCGCGCAGGCCGGAAGCACGGACACGAGCGTGATCGAGTCAGGCCGCTCCCCTTCCTCCTCCTGCATCCTGACGACCATCTCCATGGCCATCCGGGCGAGGCCGTTCCGCGCGTAGCCGGCCACGAGCGCGTTCCACGCGACGCGGTCCCGGACAGGCATTCGGTCGAACACCCTGCGTGCGTCGGCGGGGCGGCGGCACTTGGCGTACATGTTGGCCAGCGCGGTGGCGGCGAGGGCCTCGGAGTCTATCCCCCGGGCGGCGAGCTGCGCGTGGACGGCGCGGCCGGTGGCGAGGTCGCCGCGGGCGGCGCAGAGCTTGAGGAGGGAGGTGAAGGTGCGGAGGACGGGTGGCGCCCCGGCGGAGGACATGGCGACGAAGGCGGCCAGCGCGGCCGGCAGGTCGGAGCGCGCGGCCGCCGCCCTGAGGCGGGCGTGGTGGTCGTCGGCGGCGAGGGCGGTGGGTTTGGGAGGAGGAGAGGGGAGGAGCGAGGCGGTGGCAGCCACGGAGCACACCATCTCGACTGCGGTCTGCGGCTCTACATGCAACCGCCACTGGCACTCGCTACGCGCGCCCTTTTTGTTTCTTTCTTTGTTACTATCTCTTATAGGAGTAGTAGCTATTTCTCACTTGGACAAAAATTAGAAAAAAGATTTGATTTGTTGTAAAATGAATTGAGCAAAACATACTTAAAAAAAGGCAAAATCTAAACCGAGAAGCCTCTCTATTTAGTGTTAACCAGCGACGAACCAATTGTGAGAAGAGGTACTGTTACAGGTGCTGACGTACATGCTATTTTTACTCTTAGACATGCATGTCTTTTTCTTCCTTCTCATAAAGTTTTCTCTCAAATTATTTATCCGATCTACAATTCGATTACACCATTGCATTCGTTATAATTAAATCTTCACAACAAGATCTTATATGATTATATGACGATGAAAAAATATTTATATTTGTAAATTACTTTTATTATATACGTAAATTACTTTTATCATATATATAAGTTACTTTTAGATTTGACTAAGTTACTTCTTAGACAATAAAAGTAAATTCAATGAAGTCTAAAAGTAATTTACATATATTATAAAAGTATCTTAAAACAAAACGGAAGTAACTTTGTCACGACATTAGAAGTAAATTCATAGTAGGGATAAAAATATGACTTTATCTAGACATTAAATTTAGTCAGCACAGATCAACACACGTAAGTTTAACAATTTTTAAAAGTAACTTCAATATTAATTGGAAGTAACTTTTGCATGGTTCAGAAGTAACTCTATAAATCTGTTTAATCACCGATTGTTTTTTTCCTTTTATTTTTGTTTTTTATGTAGAATGAGAAAAGAAGATAAAACCTTTGATGGATTGTAAATAACATTGATAGAATAAATAATAAGAATTAACCATGTATAAGATGTAATAGTTACTTTCTAACATGTAATAAATTACTTTTAAATTAAATAAAATGAGAATATATTCAATATGAATATCGTTTTGTCACATATTTTGAGTGGAGTACAATGATGCAAATATATCTTAAAAACAATATGTGATTTAAAAGACATAAGTTATTAAAAAGATTAAAAAAGATACATACTATTGGAGTACAAACCAGCAGTCACGTCCAATGAAAAAAGGTATGCATTAAAGTTACTTTTCTTTTTGTTATAAGTTACTTCTATAATATATGTAAATTACTTTTAAGCTTTATTTAATTTACTTTTACATGTCGAAGAAGTAATTTAGTGAAATCTAAAAGTAATTTAGATATATTATAAAAGTAATTTATAATTTTTCATCAAAATATAATCATGTGAGATCTTGTTATAAAGATTTAGTTGTTACGAACACAACGGTGTAATCAGATCGTAGATCGGATGAGTAGTTTAAGAGAAAATTTTATTTGAAGTATAGGTGGATAGAGTCTCTCATAGATGGAGTGGTAGCTGGTTTAGACAAACCAGCTATCACTAGCTGTGTAGTCACGTCCTTAAAAAAAAGTACTCCCTCCGATTTATATTGTAAGTCGTTTGACTTTTATTCTAGTCAAACATCTTTAAATTGACTAAATTTATAGAAAAATACACTGATACTTTCAATATAAAACAAATATATTATCAAAATATATTTAATGTTGAATTTAATAAACTTATTTAGTGTTTTAAATATTGCCATTGTTTCTATAAACTTAGTCAAATCTAAAAAACATTGACTAAGAAAAAAGTCAAACGAAACAGAAGCAATATATTTTTGTTTTCTCATTTTACTAAACCATCGTTGAAGGGTTCGAGGTGTATGGTAGAACAGTTTATTCTTCCCTTATGCTTCACTATTCTCTCTCAATGGGGCGGAGACAGGAGTAGGACGGCTAGGGCTGCAGCTCTATTACTGAGTCTAAATATCCATTAGAATTGTACTTTAAAACTTTAAAAAGTAGAATATTAAAGGAAAAGCTATGTAAATTATATTAGCTGAGCTCTAGATTTAGAAGAATCCTATTTCCGCTGCCGACTCTCATTGATCTGCACGGTAATATACATGACATGGTTAGAATTGAACAACCAAAATTGAGAGCACTAGCTAGTACTAGGAGTACACGTTTTGAGTGCGTGTTATATCAATGTAAATATAACATTTTAGTTAAAGAAAGTGTAAATATAACATTATGAATAATTGTTTATATATCGGATCAAGGACGATTAATTGTAAACTGGTTGAGCTAGGAAGAAATGCATTAATATTGAGCAGGTTTTTCAAACAATATATGCATTCCTTGAGTGAATATATACCCTCTACAGTTCAGAATTAGGTAGCATTATCAGCTTGTGCCGTTAGTACTAAGTTGTTATGTCTAGATCAGGTTTAAGCTGCGATTTCTCTTGGTGCAAATACATGTTTAATCAGGTATATACAGAGGTTTCTATTAGCATATACATGAAATAGTATGTCAAATATGATGATGGTACGGTGGCGATAACGGAAGGACATCGATCGACAAGTGCAGTAATCTGATGAACAAGATGAATGCATGCATTGATCGATTAACTGGAATGTACATCACGGGACATCTTGTAGAGAAAGGATATGTCTGATCTTTCGGCTGCGAGATGAACTGAGGTACAGCAATTGGTGTTCCTTAATTTCCTGATGCCTCCCATTCCGATCCCTTCCCCTCTCCTCCCATCGATCGATCTCCACACATTTTTATTCTTTTTTTTAATTAGACGGCACTATAAGTATAATTATAATATAGAGGAATTGAAGGCCATATATACATGCATAAGAGGGACAATTGATGATACTATATAGAGGCCGAGGAGCATTATATTGGTAGGTTGTTTCATTAATTATATTTGAGTAAATTTATATTTTTGACAAAGTTTCACCAATGGACAAGGGCCAAAGCAACATTTTCAGAGAGAAAATGGACGTGGGCCGAACGAGCACGTACTGTTAATTGTTTGGGCCTGGCTCATTGTGTACACATTAGCGAATGAAAATAACAAAATAACGACGATGTTTGTATCTTATACTGCCTCTGTATCTAGATTCATTGACAACAATATAAATGTGAAAAATGCTAAAATGACTTATATTGTGAAACGGAAAGAGTACTCCGTAATAATTACTTGGTTGATTAGAATGGATCAATGCACAAGTTTCAAAAAATAAAAAGAGAGAATGGATCAATACACATATCGATGCGCTGCGCGCGCGCTCTCTCTCTCTTTTCTTAAAAAAAAGAAGTTAACATATTTTACACTCATGCATGGACTAATTCTTAACCAATGCCATCTGTCTCTCAAAATTACACGCTGAAAGGGAAAAAACAAGTCGGTCTACACGTACAAATCCATTATTAATTTTGCAAAGAGGGCAAGCCAAAAGGCGTCTTTGCGCTCGAATGGCATCTCCTGCGTCAACCAAGGATCTTAATTTAGAGGCAGAGTACATGTCTTCAGCTCATGTGAGGACAAAGGGAAGGTAGGGCATCAAAAGATTGACAAGTTTATCATGGACTCTTGACAGTAGAACCTATCAATGGCTGCTACCTCCACGGAGCAATGCTTGTTTCTTTCCCCATGTACTCTGCTAGCTAGTAGGGATGATTCAAGACACTATATGAACTTCGGTTAGCTTGGGTAAATGCATGCATGGAATAGGCCATGGAGCTTGCATTGCATTATATTGCTGATCACTCCTCTAGCTGGTGAAGACGAAGAGTCTCATATGTGATATGTATGGGTATGAGAGAAGAGGAGAAGCTAGCTAGAAGCAAGCATTGTGTACAACAGGAGAAGATTGGTGAGCTACATTACTTGACTGAAGACAGTATTCATTTCATCTTTTAATGATCAACTCATCAATAGTACATACGTATTGTACAAAAGATTCTACGTACGTACATAGTGAGCAGCATGACATTCAAAGAAAATATGTCGGATTATCTGTAAACATTTTTTTAAGATAACATAGATTATTTGTAAACATGATGGGGGCATATAAACTGACATGGGAAATATGACGATGTCGATATATAACATGTTGAATAAGGCCCTATTTGTCCCACGCAAAAACTTTTCACCCTGTCACATCAAATGTTTGGATACATGTATGGAGTATTAAATATAGACGAAAAAAACTAATTACACAGATTGCTTGTAAATTGCGAGACGAAACTTTTAAGTCTAATTGCTCCATGATTTGACAATGTGGTACAACAGTAAATATTTGCTAATGACAAATTAATTAGGCTTAATAAATTCATCTCACAATTTACAGGCGAAATCTGTAATTTGTTTTGTTCAAATGTGTGTCCGTATATCCGATGTGACACGCCAAAACTTTTCACACATGTTATTTAAACACAGCCTAAGCTGGCTCGTATGTAATGTGGGACGGTGGGAGGTTTCTTCATCCTGAACTCAGAGTAAGATGAGCAACACGCGCTGTGTTTAGTTTCAAAGTTATTATTCAAATTTCCAACTTTTCCATCACATCAAAACTTTTCTACACACACAAACTTCTAACTTTTCCGTCACATTATTCTAATTTTAAACAAACTTTTAATTTTGGTGTGAATTAAACACAGCCAAGATGCAATACTAGTACAAAGGGACGAGTGCCATCCTTGGGGGAGAAGACCGATGCATGGAGCTTTGGTGGTGATATGTGCTAAACAACCGTTGTGTCCTTTCCTAATGCCCCCAATTCCCACCTTCTTATCGATCCCCGCACTTTACTTTGGTTTACACTTACATGATGATAATGTTATGGTATGAAAAGAATTGAGAGTCATATGTAAAAGGGGCAGGGGAGTAGATAGAGAAAGATGTATAATGTTGTAATGTTGGTGCTTTGGTACTACTTGGTAGGTTGATCCATTTATTTTCCAAGGTTGATCCATTTATTTTCATTTGTAGCAAGGGAAGGAAAATGGTAAAATTTGTGGGCGAGACTAAAACCCAAATAATACGAGGAATTTTACAGTATTTAAGAAAATACATTGAGATATCCAAATTTTATAATAAAATTTTGGATACTTTAAGATACTTAATAACTAGAGG